TCCACATTGCAGCCGACGGAGACAGCCCGGCCCCGCACCTCGCGGCGATCTCCGCCTCCGCAGCAGAGTCGCCGACGGCTGTCGCGGTTGCGCCGGGCGCGACGTGGGGCGTCGTCGTCTCTGCGCGAGCGCGAGAGCTCGGCCTCCGCCTCGTCTCCGCCTGCGGTGCTCCTGCTGCCGATGAGCCGCCTCTGCTGCCGCTCGGCCTGCCGGAGCCGCCGCCGCCGACGCCGCCAGACCAGGGCTACGTGGTGCGCGTCGGCAGCGGGGGCGGAGGCGGCGGCGGAGGCGTGCGCTTCGAGCGGCGCGCGCGCGCGGCGTCGCTTGCGGCGGACGAGGTTGAGGTGCGTGCTGACGTGTGGGCGCTCAACTTTCGCGACGTGCTGCTGGCAAAGGGCGCAATCTCGGACGTTGTGGTGTGCGGCCCGACCGCTCGGCCTCGGCGGCGAGAGTGTGAACGGCGTCTCTTCACACCGCGCGGCCGTGAGCAGGCTGGCCGCTCGCTCGGCCTCGGCGGCGAGTGCGTCGGCGTCGTGACCAGAGTCGGAGCCGCCGTGAGGAGCAACTGCCCGCCGGAGGCCGGGTGGGAGGCGTGAACGGCGTCTCTTCACACCTCCGACTGGGAACAGACACGTGGCCGCGGGCGACCGCGTGGTGGGCGTGCCGCCGGCGGGGATGGGCTCGTTCCTCGTCACGAGCGGGCGGTGGGTCTGGCGGGCACCCGACGGGACGAGCGACGTCGAGGCCGTCAGCGGCACCGTCGCCTATGCCACCGCCTGGCTGGCGCTGCACTGGCAGGCGACGCGAGATGACCTGAGATGACCCGAGATGACCCGAGATGACCCGAGATGACCCGAGATGACCCGAGATGACCCGAGATGACCTGAGATTACCTGAGATTACCTGAGATGACCTGAGATGACCTGAGATGGCCCGAGATAATCAAGAGGTGGCCCGAGACCACCGCTTGGCTGGTGGTGAGATGACCCGAGACGCCCTGAGTTGACCCGAGATCACCGCATGGCGCTGCACTGGGCAGGCGCGCGTGCGGCGCGGCGACGCGGTGCTCGTCCACTCCGCTGCCGGCGGCGTCGGCCTCGCCGCCCTCTACCGCTGCCGTACCCTTCCTGGACCCTTCCCGGAGCCTTCCTGGAACCTTCCCATAGGCCTCGCCGCGGTCTTCCTCTGCCTCGCCGCCGGCTGCGACGTCTACGCGACCGCCTCGACGGAGGCGAAGCGGCGCCTGCTTCTCTCTGTCGGCGCGTGGCGCCTAGAAGCTGAGTGTCTAGGAAGTGTCTAGGAAGTGTCTAGGAAGTGTGTAGGAAGTGTGTAGGAAGTGTCTAGGAAGTGTCTCGGCGGCTAGAAGCTGAATCTAGCGCTCGAGAGGACGCGCATGCTTGTCTGTGCTCTGCTGAATTCGTAGTACCCCCCCCCTCCCTCCCCCCCGGTACTCAGACAGTGCTCGGAGGACGTTGCGCAGCGCCGTCTCCCCGCTCCGAGGGCGCCATGTTCACCGTTGAGGGCGCCGTGTTCACCGCTGCAGGCGCTCGCGACGTCTTCTCGTCGCGCGAGCCCACGGCCTTCGGCGCCGGCGTGAGGGCGGCGACGGGCGGGCGCGGCGTCGACGCGGTCCTCAACTCGCTGGCGGGGGAGGAGGCCGTGCAGACCTCCCTCGGCCTGCTGCGCCCCTTTGGCCAGTTCTGCGAGCTTGGAAAGCGCGATGCGTACGCGGACGCACCGCTACGGCAGCGCGCCTTCCTGAACGGCGCCTCGCGCCACGCCTCCCGCCCGGACGCGTCGAGGAACACGTACTTCAATAGATAACCTCTTTTCCCTTTGTAGGCATCTCGCGCCACGCGCCTCACCGCCGGGACGAGAGTACCCGAGAGTACCGGAGAGCACCCGAGAGCACCCGAGATAGGCGTCTCGTACCACGCGTCTCACCTCGACGTGCTGATGCTCGAGCAGCCGCGCCGCGGCGAGCGGCTCTTCGCGGAGGTCCGGGCGGCCATGGAAGGGGCGTGGGAGGGTCCTGGAGGGGCCTCCGGCGGCCAGGGAAGGGCTGCGGAGGTCCGGGGGAGCGTGGGAGGCGTCCGAGCGGGCCCTCTGCCGCCGCTGCCGACGAAGACCTTCCCGATGGACCAGCTCGGCGCGGCTGCTTACCCGAGATTGCCCGAGACTGCCCGAGATTGTCATAGATTGTCCCAGATTGCCCGAGATTGCCATAGATTGTCCGAGATTGCCCGAGACTGCCCAAGATGCCCGAGATCGCCAGAGATCGCCAGAGACTTCCCAAGATTGCCCGAGATCACCCGCGATCGCCCGAGATCGCCCAAGATTCCCCAAGATCGCCCGAGATCGCCCGAGATCGCCCGAGATTGCCGGGTGGGTCCGCGAGCAGGCGAGGCGCTCGACTACATGGCGCAAGGCGTGCACGTCGGCAAGGTGGCCAGCGCCACTGCCGCCTGTCGATGAGCAGCCAGTGGCTGAGTACTGACAGCCTCTCGTGCTTGTCGGCAAGGTGGTCATCACTGCCGCCGCCGTCGCCGCGGCCGCCGCGCCGCCTCGCGTGGCTGTCGGAGGCGGGGCGGCGGAGGAGGCGGCGGCGTACCGCGACCCGCTCGTCGACTCGCTGCGCTCCCTCGGAGGTTGGGTAGCAGCAGCAGCAGCAGGAGTAGTAGTGTTCGCAGCAGCAGAGGAGGAGGAGGAGGAGGAGGAGGAGGAGGAGGAGGAGGAGGAGGAGGAGTAGCAGCAGCAGTAGTACTAGCAGCAGCAGCAAAGGAGGAGGAGGAGGAGGAGGAGGAGGAGGAGGACGAGGAGGAGCAGCAGCAGCAGCAGCAGCAGCAGCAGCAGCAGCAGTAGTAGTACTACTCTCAGCAGTAGCAATAGGAGGAGGAGGAGGAGGAGGAGGAGGACGAGCAGCTGAAGCAGCAGCAGCTGCAGCAGCAGCAACAGC